ATATCTATATTTTAATATAAGAACATAATTTAAATATAATGTTCAAACAAGTTAAGAACAAATAACAAAAAAATAAATTATTAATATCGACATAATCGAACTCCGATAATTCGAAATGGCAAGGGCATTCTTTTCGATTTACACTGAAGTTACAATAATCGATCATTATCGAGAATAAAACTTTTTCAAGGGCTATAATTTGTTCGATTTGAAATAGCAGGGTACAAATTATTGAGAATCGACTGTATCTTCAGATTACTTTTATTGTAATTTGTTGCATTTATTTAGATTTTAATATTTTCTGATCATTCAAAAGATTACTCATATTCAAGGCAGTTTTGTTTATTATATTACTTTCTTAAAGCTTTAAAATTTAACTTTTTAATAATATTCAGTTTCAATAAAAATTCATATGTTTACAATATACATTCTTAAAATTTTGTTGTTTTTTTTTCTCGTTACAATTTGCATTCAAATTCAGAATAATCGAAAATAAATTCTAAATGTTGCCAGCTTAGTTACCTTTGCATTTGATGCCAGTTGTCAAAGCAAGTGCAAACGCTGAGCTGGCCTTCGGTTTGACATTTGATTTCATTGAGAGTTCTGAATCGGATTGTAAAGAATTTTTCGAGAATGTATAAGTTGGGCAAGGGCAAGATGAAGCCAAAGCAGGCGAAGCCATCCATTGAGGAGATACCGCCTCGTATCGAGCCGTGTGTTCTGCCGGTGAATGGGGTTGTTCAGCCGCCGGTGATACCGCCGCCGGAGAGGCCTGGCCGGCTGACCAACGTGCTGGAGAGCCTGAAGTCGGTGCTGGAGTCTCTGTGGAGGAGCCGCTGGTCGAGTTACTTCAAGAAACCGGTGGATGCGTCTAAGCTCTGCATTCCGGACTACCACACTGTGATTAAGCATCCCATGGACCTGAGCACCATACGCCAGCGCCTGAACAACAACTACTACTGGCGGGCGAACGAGGCGCTGGAAGACTTCGAGTTGATCTTCGCCAACTCCAGTTTGTTTTTTATGCCGGGGTCACGAGTGCACGCCGCCGGCAAGCAACTGTCTGCCATCTACCGCACGTGTCTCTCCATGATCGACATGAGCAACGAGACGCAGCTGAATACCAAATCGTTGCTACGGAGACGCAAGGTGCGGCCACTGCAGCTAGAGCGTGCGTACCCAGTTCCAAGCAAGTTACCTAGGCTGGACGATGGTGCATGCCAGACTCAGGAGGGAGACGATAGCGAGTCTGATTCTGATGTTGACGATGAGCCTGACGGGGAGCCCGTTGAGTTCGATTCGACCCCGGACATACTGATCGATTGGCAGATCTATCTTGTGGAGAAGAACCACTCGTTGCGGATGCTCCAGTGCCTGACCAAGCGCAAGCGGGACCACATCAACTGGCCCTTCCGCTCCGGTGATCTGTGGCGCCAGTACAGCCAGAATCTACACTACAACCACGATGTCGAGGACAAGCTGGACTGGGAAACATTGCGTTTCATGCTGGACAACGACGAGATCCAGAACTTTGAGCATTTAATCGAGAGGCTGAGGACGATGTTCCAGAACGCCTTGGCCTGTTTTCCGATGGATGAAAATGTAATCGAGGCGACGACTGCGTTGAATGCTGTTCTCGAATCACATTTGGGTGCATTCCGCAGCTCTTTGACCGAGGCGAAGAAGCGAATTCAGTATCTGGCGAGCAAAAAACTTCGGGATTATAATATAATTCTCTCACAACAGGATAGTTATCACAGTTCGGAAGAGAGATTCTCTTATGGAGCAGGGAGCTACCAGCAATATCGTTAGCTTATATTGCTTGATGTGAACCATAAATGAAATAAATTGTAAAATTTATTGCTTTAATTTGAATTGACTCCAATTTCTATTTTAACCGATTCATATCAGTACTTGTGGTTCCGCTAGGTGTCGCTAATGCATACATTGGGGTTTTAACATTACCATTAGAGCTAAAAAAATGTTAAAAAAAAAAACATTCTATTTAAATTGCCGCCAATTCAAAATTTAACCGATCTAAATGTTTCCTTATAAGCCCACCAGGTGCCGCTGATGCTTACATTGCGACTGCTTTGTAACATTACTATATGAGTTTAGCATAAATTTAGCTAGCATTTAGTCGTAATAAAAATGTCTACATTTGCTTTAGAAATATTCTAGTTATTCTAGTTTAACATTATAATAAAAACTTATAGACATTAATTTATCTTCACGTAAATTCGATAATGTTTCGATTAGAGTAGTCCTAATACCGATAGTATTTTAGCTGCGCAGGGTGGAAATTTTAATATCGATACGCGATGATATCTGGCAACAGCCAGCGTTCAGAAGCTGCTCGAGAAATTTCGTTAAAAACGGTCGAAATGTCGCAATAAATTGATAATTTATTGTAAAAAGTGTTTATAAGTGCTTTATAAAGTGAATTGTAATCTAATTTTCTTTAGAAAATGCTCAAAAATGTGAAATAAGAAGGCTGCAAACCTGATTTGTGAAGAGGCAGGCTTTTTTCATAGTCGTAAAATACATACAGACATTCTCACGCACACACACGCAGCTGTAAATATGTATAAATAACGCGCGGGCGCGAGAGAGAAAGAAAGAGCGTGAGTAGAGTTGAATGTGTAATTGTATGCGTGAGTGTGTTGCGCTGTTTTGTGTGCTCGTGTCGGTGAGAGAGAGCGAGAGCAGCGCGCCAACAAGGCGAATGCGAGAGCAAAGCAAAAACCAACAAATAAGTGAACGAAAATAAAAACGAAAAATACCGAATATCGAACAAGTCGTGTGCGCTAAATGTTGTATTGTTGAATGTTAAGTATTGTTTGAGCGTTTGTGCATTTCTGCAAGGTGAATTATGTTTTGACGCAGACATAAAAAGTTGGATACGTCGTAATATCATTGCGGGAAGAAGAAAAATAAGGTAAATACAAAATAATGCTACATCCAGGCGTTGTCGGCGGATTTGTTTTGGTCGATGAGTCAGACGCTCGAGTTTTGTTTTCTTTTTTGTTTCATATTTGATTTTTTTTTTTTCACTTAATGTAGTCATCAAATCGTATCGTTTCTAACAAATGCATTTTGACACTTAAACTAACAACTCATTTACATACATATATATACTTAGCTAGATAATTGTCATGTGTAGTTGTAGTTAGTTTACATTGAACCGAAGGCGCTACGCGACGCCCAATAGCAAAAGTCTACAAATTATACAGTTACTTGCATCTAAATACAATATTTTTGTATCTACGTCGTTTAGTTATTTACAAATATACTCGCAATATTAAATACTATAGAAAGCAAGTTGGAAAACACCACACACACATGCATATAAAAGCTGACGGTATGTGTGTGTCTGAGCGCGCGAGAGAGCAAGAGAGTTAGACACGGAGAGCGCGCGGCAGTTAGGAGCAACAAACAAAGCAATAAAACAGCATCAATAAATAACAGTTTAATGTGTCTAGTTAGTACCTACAGTTAATTGTTTTTGTTAAAAGCTCTCATTTAAAATCAAATGCTCGTGCTATCTCGGTCTCATACTCTCGTTGTCTACCAAATTTTGCATCTCGCACGCACCAATGCGGCCAAGTGCTTGTATTTATAACTAAAATTGCGCTGATCACTTGCGTTGGTGTTAAAACTTTTTAATAAATTATGTACACACTCATACACATGCATATGTATGTGTGTGTGTGTGTATATAATAAAATGAATAGCTGGCAAATCGATTGGCCCGAGTTGCTGTGCTTACGACAATACGGCTTGTATTTGTTGTTCTTGCTCTCTCAGTTTTATTATTGTTATTGTCGTTCTTGTCTTTGTTGTTGTTTTTGTTGCTGTGTCGTGGCCGGTCGCGTTGATATTTGCGGCTGCTGTGGCCGTCGATGTTAATTTTTTGATAAATAATTACGAAATATTTTTTATGTGTTTTTGTTTTATTTATTTGCATAGGCCATGTGTGTGTGTATATATATATGCTTGTTTGTTGTGCGTGTGTGTGTCCCTACCTCTTTCAATCTCTCACGCGCGCTCTCTTTTGACACCACATTTGCTTAGGCATTTTAGTCGATCAAAAAAATAAAAATAAATCGGCGAATTCCGAATATTAAGTGTGTGAGCGCGTACGAAATGAGTAATTGCTCATATTGTGTATTTGCATTTGAATGTGCAAGTGTGTGAGTTGGTGTGTGAATGTTGATTGTATGCAATATATTGCCTTTCAATAGCTAACAGCAGCCACAGCCAGTGGGCCATGGGTTAATGCCTGAATTATTGAAACGTCACAAATTTGCTTTTCACGCTCTGTTAAGCGGACGCAACGCCGCGATGTCTGCAGCGGGAACTGCAACTACCGAAAACTTTACGAACTCATCTCGCACAATTTACATCGCTTGGCGAAATATTAGTTTTCAATTCTATTGGTTTTTGCGCAGCAGCTGCTGCCACTTGAAAAGAACCCACCACCGACACCACCAACAATTACCAACGTCAACAATAATAAAGCCTACCGCAGTTGCACGAGTGTCGTGACACGAGCATACACGAGCCGCTTCAACTTGTGTATGACTCCACTTAATATTCGAATCCAATTTAACGTATGCACGCTTTTAAATGAAAAAAAAAGAAGCAAATCACTGACTAATTAATCCGGTTTGGGATGTGTTTTCGATTTGAGGTGTGTTTTCATCTCGTGCCAACAAAACATCTAACACCCATCTTTGATTCAAATAACAGCAGTAGCAACAGTGCAACAGCTAAAATTGGGTGCTGCTGCAGCTGTTGATGTTGATGTTGTGTTCGCATTCGTGGCAATCGAGCACCAAACATCATTTTCGCGCTCAGTGTTAAATGCTCATTCATGAAGTCACAAGCACACACATATGCATATGTATAGTGCCTCTGGGCTGCGCTCCCACATACTTATGTATTGGCGCGCACATTTTCTTTCACCTTTACTGCGTGTTTTGATTTCGACGTCTTTTTTGGCTGCTCAATCGCTTATGCCGCATTTACTCACTCACACACACATATATATTTTCATATATATATTCAGTCTCCCTCTCACTCTCTATCTCTCTCTCTGTCCTTATTTGACTCTCACACCCCCGCAAATTTGCTCTCACGCTCATTATTTGGCCCCACCTTCGTTTCGTTTCTTTTTGGATTCGGCTCCGGCCCTCTCCCTCTCTTTCACCTTCCCGCTCTTTTGGTTTTAGACGCTCTTTTTTTTATCTTTAGACGGGACACATTTGTTGCTTGTTGTCTTTGGCTGCTTAATTCAACATCTTCAGCTGCTCCGCTTGGCCTGTTGGGCTTTCTCTTGTTCGGCTCCATTGCGCTCTTTATTTACACACTGGTCTTTGGTCTCCTTTAAGTTTCTTTTTGTGCTGCTCTCGCCTGCACATGCCTTCATATGTACACATAATTTGGGCATTTTTGCATAATTTCATGCAAATTAGCATATCTGTGTGTTGGTGTAAGCGTGCATATTTTGTCGCGCTCTGTGTGCATACATTTGAAGGTATGTATGCATATATGTGTGTGTATCTATTCTATAGTTCGCTGTTGTGATTGTCGTGCTCACGTTTTTAATCGTTCGTCAGTCGATTCGGTTTTCAATCGACATCTCGCAGGCATCGTTGTTGTTGTTAGCTACCTGCCTGCTTGCCTGACTGTCTGGTCTGCTCCCTCCTCTGTTTCTGTCGCTGTCGCTGTTGCTGTTGCTGTCGCTGCTTGACTTTAATCTGCTCAATTACTCGCAATTTGCAAGTTGTGTGTGCGACTGTTTGAGTAAGTCACTGTCTCTGTCTATCTCATTGCTTACCTGGCTGAGCGTGTGTGCGTGTGCCTGTGGCGGTGCGTGGCTGTGTCTGTGTGACAGTCTGTCTTCATGTTTCGTTTCGTTTTGCTTCTCGTTCGCCTTATTCATGTTGCTGTACGTTTTGAGCTTGTTTTGATTTCTTAATCTTTTTACCATAATTGATGGCAATTAAATTAAAGGTGTGTGTGCGGCCTCGCGCCTTGACGTTGTTGTCGTCGTTTTTGCTCGGCTCCTTTGGCTCGTATCTTTTCGGTTTCGGTCGTCTTTCATTCGCTTGCACAAATTGGCTCGCTCGTACATCGGCGAATGTATATTTTGTTGATACATATGTACCATAACATGTATGTATGCATATGTGGTTTGTTGTCAGCCACCTTCGGCCAGAGCACCACGTTCGTGCTCCACCATAAGCCACGCACCTCGCGTGACTCTTATTTATTTGTAGTATTCAAATTATTTCCATCAGTTGCTTATTTTATACACTCTTAAAGAAGGTTATTCGCATTTGTTAACGATGTTGCCTGTCGCGACTCATCCGTATTTAATATGATGATATACATATGTACATATGCAATACACATATATTAAATGAAACTGCTTAATACACAGGGTATCTTTTAGTCGGTTCTCTGTCTGTCCCTGTTTACATTTTGACTTGCTTTCATCTGCTGCTTTGTGGGTATATTTGAATGCCATTCGATTGTATTTTGTCATCTATTGAGATTTTATTGATTAGTTCAACATTAAGCATTACATTACGCTCAACTGTGGCTACCAGTGCCGGGCAGCACACACATGCATACCTATGTATGTTTACATGTGTGTATAATTGTTGCGATTTACTTAATTGATGTCAACGCCGCGTTGTTATTAATTCTAGTTTGCAAACTTTTATGTCATTTAGTATTCCATTTACAATTTAAAGCGCAGTTTGTAGTTTGCTGCGCTCGTGTTGTGTGCGAACGACTCGAAGAGTAGCAAATTGTTGACAATTGTTTTGAGCTTGAGCAAATTAACCTTTAGTTTGTTATGTCATCTGTCATGTTATGTGAATATGTGCATCAATATTCAAATTGATTGAAATAGCTAGTACTTAATTGCCATTGATTCTGTCTCACAATTAAAATAATTTGCATGCACTCATCGTGACATCAGCAGACTTATTAATCGGAATGCAGTCCTGAGGTAATATATAGTTGCATTTCACGATGTTTCAGTTCAAGTCAATGCAGAATGAGGTGCTAATCCAGTGAATTGAATATTGATCAAATGAATCGCACCTGAAAATAAATCACTATATGAATTGATTTTATTTAGCATGCAAAATCCCGATATACTTGTCGATATTATCTCTATGCAATTTGTGTAATCGCAAGGCACATTGTATACACAGGGAATTTATATATGTATATGTATGTGCGTTAAGCGTTAGTCGATCGTTTTGAACTTAATGCTTACATCATGTCGCAGATCAAAGGAAAATCGACAACGAGCAATTCAAGCTTGAAATGAAATTACAATCTCCAATCTCAGATAGAGTTGCTTATAGACGTCATGTACATACATACATATATGTGTGTGTGTATGGGAAAATAAATAATTGACTGTCCAGAAATATATTAAAAAAAAAAAATACAAAACTAAGAATGATGGACGAAAAAGTACCCTGTAGTCTGTATTGTAAATCAGATCAACGTACTGCCGTTGGATGGCATTGCTTGGTGTTGATCTCAATTTTTTAAATAGAATATAAAATATTTTTTATGAATAAAGTATTTCGAGTGAAGTTTTGTTATGGTTTGCTGTACAGGCATACCCTGCTGAAGCAATTTGGTGCATAAAGGGTATTGGAGGAAAACAAACTATAAAGCAAAACTGCACTTGGAGTACAGTTGACATGATCGACTAGCTGCATAATTAACTAGCTAACAGCTAACCAGCTTTGGCCGGGCCGACAAGTCAGTGGTGCCACAAACAGCAGTAACTGTTGTGGTAATTGGTGCCGCTACCGGGTCGCCTGGTGTCGTGCCGTGTCGTGTGTCTCTAGGCAAATACAAACACCTTTTGCACAAAAACAATCAGCCTAGCACGAACTGACGAAGCGACCAACTGACGAACCGACTCATGCTCGAACTCGAACTCAATTGCAGCAGTAGCTTGTTAAAAACAACAGAAACAGCAAATAAAATATATGTAAAGAGAGAGAGGGAGTGAAAAAGAAGAAAACTGCAATAACAAGTCGTCAAAAGAATGGGATGAGTATAGCAGTGGCGGTGAGGGTGGGACATAGTGTGGACTGAAGTGGAGTGGAGAGGCGCACACGCAGTTGAACGTTTTTCACCTCATTTTTATTCCATCGGCCATTAAGTAGTTCAGCAGCAAACCTGGTTAACCGTCACATGTAGCTCCTGCAAATAGCAGCAGCAGCAGCAGCAGCAGTAGCAAAAACAACAAGAACAGCAACAACAACAGTAGCACATCAAATACATTCACCCGTGCACTCACATACATTCATTCATTCACTGTCTCACTCACACGCACATACACACACTCATACAGTCATCGCACACCCACACAGTAAAAATCTGAACTTGTTTGCCAACTGCGACGAAGCGAACTAATAAATTTCTACTTTGTTTTCCCCCTTTTCAATCATTTTTCCAGATTCAAGAAATCGCGCTAAGACAAAAATTCGCGCAGATACACACATACACAGGCACGCATATAAATGCGCAAAAAGTGTGCTAGTATATGTGTGAGTGTGTTGCTAGTATCTAATGATGTAGATGATTGCAATGATAATGAAAGCGATCATAATGATAATCATGATGAAGATGTTGTTGATTTTAATGTGGCAGCCGCGGCCGCACTGCTAACATAGTTGAGCAACGTTTCGCGAAAGTACAGCAATGTGGAAAATTGTAAATACGACCAAAAACTCAAAACGCAGAAAAACTAAACGCGCAAAAAGAAGAATTTTCATGCTCGCGTCACCATAAGACACCCATAAAGGAAAGAAAAACTGTCGTAAAAAGGCAGTCATAAAGGAAAACCCACCACTTAACAGGGTAGTGGGCTTCAAMAGCAACAACAACAACAGTAAGAATTTCAATTTCTAGCAAAAAATAAATAAAGTAAAGAAAACAAAAGCAACAACAACAGCGAATAACAAGAAAATCCTGCGAAGTAGAAAAAAAGTTCAAGTCCGAAGTAGAAAAACCACTTAAAACATCGATGAAACGCTGACGGGGTCGGACGAGCGATGCGATTAACGCGTCAGAAGAGCGAGCGTAGGCTAGAGCTAGAGCGCGAGCGAGAGAGAGCGTAAAAAGGTGTTAGACAAGGGCGGGAGGGAGGTAGGGCGCGACAGGAATCTGCGAGCGACAAAGACGAACGCGTGCTAAGGAGCTAAGAAGCAGCCGTTGTTGTTATTGCGACGACGTTTTTTTTTTTTAGATATATATTTTTGTAAACTATATATTTAGTGGTAGTAGAGTGAAAAGGTGGTGTGTGTGTGTGCTGGTGGTCACGCAAGACGTGGCAATCGTCTGCAGGAGCCGAACCAATAATAACAGCGAGACAAAGGCAGCTGCAATTGCACCTTTAGCAGCGGCAGCGGTAGCGGCAGCAGCAACAACAGCGACAGCGACAGGAGCGCCAAAGAGCGACAGCCGAGAGAGCGGCTTCTCTGTACATGTTTCGTGTGTGCCGAGAGGCAGAGAGCGCAAACGAGGGCCGAAACGAACGAACAACAAACGAAGTAAACGAAGCGGCTGCCGCGCGTCGCGACGTCACCTTCGGCCATTCGGCTTTAGTAGTTGTAATTTGCAAAGCAAGGAGCGAGGAACGCGCGCGAAAACGAGCTAAGCAAAACGAGAAAAGGAACGAGCTGACGAAACGAGTAAAGCGTTTTTGAAGAGGGGAGTAGAGGGCGTAGTAGAGTGGAATCGGTAACCACAGCAACAAAAGCCCACTAGTGTCTGTCCCTGTGTGAGTGTGTGTGTGTGTGTAAGAGTGCTTGTGAGTGCTCAAGGGGGAAATTGACGCATTCCAAACGCGGTTCGGTTACAGGCATAGGCTGACGCTGACTCTGACGTTGTTTCTCTTGTAGCTGTTGCCGCTGCTTTTGTTGATATTGCAGTCCCGCGTTGCTAATACCGGTCTTTTCGACTCACGTGAACGTTGTTATTTTTTTTTTTTTATCGTATTTTTGCATTGTTCCCAGCAGCCGCTGCAAAGAAAGTTTGTGCCGCCAACAACGCGTTGCAAATACAGAGCCAGGTCAATATAAACGATTTGCCAATGCAAATGCATAGACAAATGCAAAAAATCAAAGATCAGCAAGTGCGTATATTATGGGCCGCTCTAAGTTCCCCGGGAAACCATCCAAGTCGATCAACCGTAAACGGATAAGTGTCCTGCAATTGGAGGATGATGCAGCGGCGGCGGCGGCTAGCGCTGCGGCTAGCACAGCGGCAACAGAGCAGCATCAGCAGGGCGAGCAAAGCGCCGGCTCAGCGTCGCGGGAGAAGGGCAACAATTGTGATAACGATGACGATGATAATGCGCCAAGTGGTGCGACGACCAGCGGAAACAGTAGTACATCCGGAGGAGTTGCGGGTGCCACTGCCACCGAAGGTGGCAGCAGCGCCGATAACGGGTCCAGCGGGGGTAACACAACAAATGGCGGCAATGTAAATGGAGGCAGTCACCACAAGAACGCCACAGCTGCAGCCCCACTGTCGGCAGAGGTCAAGGAATGCAAAAATCAAGGCAACAATATCGAGCCCAACAACTGCATTGGCGCTGGGCCCGATGACGCCGAGGACACAAACAACGATGACGAGGATGACAGTGGCAATGACAGGAAGGCAACAGCCGGCGTTGTCTCTTTCGGGCCCGGGCTCGGTGCGTTGCAGCGTGCACGCAAAGGAGGCAATAAAAAATTCAAAAACTTGAATCTGGCCAGAGCGGAGGTGATGTTGCCCTCAACGTCGAAACTCAAGCAGCAGCAGCAGCAGCAGCAACAACAACAACAACAACAGCAATTGCAACTTAATTGCCCTTCATCGTCTTCATCGTCATCCGCTCCTACGACAACAAAGGCGACGGCTTTAGCGATTGCCGCGCTGGCATCGACGACGGCAACGACGTCAACGTCAACGTCGTCGTCGGCGTCAAGCATGCCTGGGACGTCACTGGCAGCAGCTGCTGGGGGCGGGGGAGGCACTGCTGCTGGCCTTCTGGCGAACCCCTTTGCCAGCGTCGAGACAAACGTGGCAGAGGCAGCAGCCGCTGCATCGGCAGCCGCATCARCAGCAACAGCAGCAGCAGGCGCTGGCGAAGATGTTGCAATGGTAAGTGGATTTCTTTAGATCATGTTGTACTGTACACACACGATACGCGCCCGCTTAATAAATGCGCACCTACAGCAACATGCAACACATACATGTACATATGTTTATATATATATATATACACAAAAATAAGTTAAAAGCGATTTAACTCAGTGATTTTTGTTGTATTTTGGTTTGGTGTCTCGTCTTATGTGTATTGCGTGTTATTTGCTTATTCTGCCCCATTTCAGGCAATGTAAATAAGAATCCCGTCAAGTCGGGCGCTAAATTATGCGCCCCTCGGATTGCTAACTAACTAGTGGTTACCCTATCGCCTGCTTGTCTGACTATTGCCTGTGAGCTGCTCGCTTACCTGCTTAATTGGCTCTTATGACGTTTTCGCGCTTCGCCCCGCCTGTCTGCTTACTTACTTACTTAGCTACCTACCTACCTACCTGCCTGTCTGTACCTGCAAATAACTCGTTTTTCCCCCAAAACTTGCACTTGCTTACTGCTCTCCCCACCCTGCACCCCGGCCTCTGCATCCCCATACTCCTATTCGCATATCCCTTGCCCTGCTTTGTTTTGCTTTGCTTTGCTTTGCATGCTCTTCCGCCTGCTTTAGTTTTTTTTTTGTTTGTTTGCTTTTTTTTTATTTTACGAGCATGCATGTTATTTACTCGCTTTAGTTGTTTTTACTTGCATGCATTATTGATTGGCCAAAAGACATGGAGGGGAACCTTTATGACTAACCTGCCGTTTGCGTTTTTCCAGCTAAAGGCTTCAAACGAAATGGGCACTGAGGCCGGCCCAGAAGCCGCTGTCGCCGCAGGCAAATCGAATGGGTGCAGTCCCAGCGCCAATGCGGTGGCCGGCACGAGTGCCGCCCCAGGGGCCCCCACGGCGACCAAGCAGAAGAAGACGGTCACCTTCAAGAATATACTCGAGACCAGTGATGACAAGTCGGTGGTGAAGCGTTTCTACAATCCGGACAATCGGGTGCCGCTCGTTTCGATCATGAAGAAGGACAGCTTGAACCGACCGCTCACCTATTGCCGGGGCAGCGAGTTCATTGTGCGTCCCTCCATACTGTCCAAGATACTCAACAAAAACTCCAACATCGACAAGCTCAACTCGCTGAAATTTCGCTCAGCGCACGCCTCGGCAAGCACCGCACAGGAATCGAGCTCCGCAAGTCTCTTTGGCTCTGGTCTGAGTCGAGCCTTTGGCGCCCCCATGGACGACGAGGACACCGTTTCGGGCGGTGTCACATTTCGCAAGGAGGAGCCCCAGTCGAGAGCAACGGAAGACAACGACGATGATGGGTAAGTGTATTAMTTAATTAATAATTGAGTGAATTAGCGCATTCATTGTTTATCTAATTCCTATTTATAATTTTCGCGGAACATTCAGGGATCTAATTTAATATACAAAATATTTTGAAATGATAACTAAACGAAATTTTTATTATAATTTCTAGCTCCGAAAGTAGCGATGACATTGAGGACGATGAAGGCATTGATGATGAAGAAGTGGAGGACAAGGAAGAGGCGAAGCCGGAGAAGAGTGCTGAAACAACAGCTAATCTGGATGAAAAGGATGGGGACGACAGGCAGCTGGTCGTGGATAAGCATTTCGTGTTGCCCAAACGCAGCACGCGCTCATCTCGCATCATAAAGCCCAATAAGCGTCTTCTTGACATGGGCGGGATAAGTAGCAAGAAGAGCAACAGCGATGCCGTTAGCAAGCCTAAGCCGAAGAACTACTTTGGGCTGACGGACTTTGCCAGCGAAATGGCCGCTTCGACGTCGTCAGCATCATCGTCATCATCATCGTCCGTTGCATTGAGCCAGAAGCTGTTGAAGGAAACGTTTCCGAGCTTTGGCACAACGAAGCTCAACAGCAGTTTTGTGATGCGCCAGCCGCGCCTGCAGTTCCAAAGTGACAAGGGTGCGTCGTTTGTGGGCGCCAAGCTGCCCACAGCGTCGCCATCGCCTGCGTTATCCAGTGCCATTTCGTTAGCAAATGCTTTATCCTTTGGCTCTCTCAATAATGCCAATTCAGGTATGGGAATCGTGGAGTTGAAGCACCTTTAGAGCATCGTTTTTTATTGAGTTTTTGGTAATTTCAGCTGTGAGTACGTCATGCGCCATTTGCTCAGCGCCAGTGAACAGCAAGAATGCGACGCTGGAGCGAAAATATGGCGCAATTGCCTGTGATGTTTGTCGGAAGTTCAACTCAAGAATGACAAAGGTATCCAAGCTATCGACGCCAACACAGTCGGCCCAGCAACTGCAGTGCAAGGGCACAAACGGTATGCATCTATCAAAATTATTGCTAATAGATACATGAATAATATTTCCTCAATCTACAGGCGGCAACTGCAGCATACAATCGGCCAAGAGCCAGCTGAAGAACTTCAAGAAGCTCTACAAGGAGCGCTGCACGGCTTGTTGGCTTAAGAAATGCATAACGGTATTCCAGCTGCCCTCGGGGCATAGAAGCCGCTTGAGTGCCATGCTGCCCGCCAATATGCGCGAAGAGAGCGCACCCAAGGATGATAAAAGCTCGGAGCTGCTGTCGCCCACGGCTAACATGCGCTTCACAGCGCCGACTAGCTCCGCCACGTCGGCGAGCTCCGGCACGACCATCATGTGGAAGTCCAGTGCGGAGTCTGCAGTGAACATCATCAAGTCGAATCCTCTGGCAGAGAATAATGTTACCTTTGGCAGCACTCCATTGCTCCGACCTGCAATACTCGAAAAGCCGTTGTTCTTAAAGATAGCCAGCGATAACAAAAAGCCGAAAGAATTAAAAGTCGCGTCCGCGTCCACGGAGGCGGTTGCTCTAAGTCCAGTGCCCAGCACCAGTGAACCATCAGTAGCTGCGCCAAACAAAGCCACGCGCAAGGCCAAGCAGGACAAGGAGAAAGCAAAGGAACAGGAAGGCGATAAGCAGCTTAGTCCCAGCACAAGAAAAGCGGCTGATGTCAACATATCGGAGACTCAAAAGGATGAACAACAACATCCGCCAGCTGCAGCGATTGGAGCGTCCATCACCAGCTCTTCTGCAGCCCAAACGAACTCCACTTCCGCCACCCACAGTGCAATGGAGACGGCTGAGGCAGCCTCCACACCGACATCGACAGCGCCGGATAACTTGAAGCGGCAGCGCATTGACCTGAAGGGGCCGCGTGTGAAACACGTGTGCCGCAGTGCATCCATAGTTCTTGGTCAGCCGCTAGCCACTTTTGGCGACGAGGAAGATGAGTTGGCAGCGGCAGAGACAGCACCGCCAGCAACTGTGTCAGAGGCCAACGCCAAGAAGCCCAAGTCGCCACAGACCGTGCAGATGATCATCGATGAGAACGACAACTGTGCCACCTGCAAGCCAGCGACTAATGAAGCCACAGCAGAAGCCCAGCCAGTCGCTAAGGCTGCGCTGGAACCGAAGAGCGGTAAATCAAGTGCGCAAACAGAGGCTAAAAAGGCGACAACTACATCGGCCTCCTCCAAGGGCAAGGTTACTACGCGAAATGCGACTGCAACTGTGACATCAGCGGCCAGCGGTCTGATGCCCAGCAAGAAGCAGCGGAATTACGAGGGGAGCAGCACGGCTGGCAATCAGGCGGCTGCTCCTCAGAGTCGCCGTGCCCTGGGCAAGGAAGTGAACCGGCTAAAGGCGTTGATTTCAATCGATTTCTGGGAGAACTACGATCCGGCCGAAGTATGTCAAACGGGATTTGGATTGATTGTCACGGAGCCAGTGGCGCAGCGTGCTTTGTGCTTTCTGTGCGGCTCGACGGGCCTGGATCCGCTCATCTTTTGCGCCTGCTGCTGTGAGCCCTACCATCAGTATTGTGTGCTGGACGAGTATAATCTGAAGCACAGCTCCTTCGAGGATACGCTGATGAATAGCCTGTTAGACACGTCCAGCAATGCCTGCGCCATTTCAGCGGCAACGAATACGGCGCTGAATCAGCTGACGCAGCGACTCAACTGGCTATGTCCGCGGTGCACCGTTTGCTATACGTGCAACATGTCGTCCGGGTCGAAGGTGAAGTGTCAGAAGTGCCAGAAGAACTACCACAGCACGTGCCTGGGCACCAGCAAGCGTCTGCTGGGTGCGGATCGGCCCCTAATCTGCGTCAACTGTCTGAAGTGTAAGTCCTGCGCCACCACCAAGGTGTCCAAGTTCGTGGGCAATCTGCCCATGTGCACCGCCTGCTTCAAGCTGCGCAAGAAGGGCAACTTCTGCCCTATCTGCCAAAAGTGCTACGACGACAACGACTTCGACCTGAAGATGATGGAGTGCGGCGACTGCAACCAGTGGGTGCACTCCAAATGCGAGGGCCTCAGCGACGAGCAGTACAATCTGCTGAGCACGCTGCCGGAATCCATTGAGTTCATATGCAAGAAGTGCGCCAGGCGCTGCGATGTCTCCCGCCAAAAAGCGGACGAGTGGCGTCAGGCTGTCATGGAGGAGTTCAAGTCGAGCCTGTACAGTGTGCTCAAGTTGCTCAGCAAGTCACGGCAAGCGTGCGCCTTGCTCAAGCTGAGTCCGCGCAAGAAACTCCGTTGCAGCTGTGCTGCAGGAGGAGGCAAGGCTCAGGCTCAAGGCAAGCTGCAGCCCAAGGCGCTGCAGTTCACCTACAACGGACTGGGCAGCGATGGCGAGAGCCAGAACAGCGACGATGTGTACGAGTTCAAGGAGCAGCAGAGCTCATCCAATCCGAAGCCTTCGACTCCGGTGCCATGTACCTGCCTGCAGCCATCGACCCAATCGCAGTCGTTCAGCCTCGTCGACATTAAGCAGAAGATCGCGAACAATGCCTACGTTTCGCTGGCGGAGTTCAATTACGACATGAGCCAGGTGATACAGCAGAGCAACTGTGATGAGCTGGACATAGCCTACAAGGAGCTGCTGAGCGAGCAGTTTCCCTGGTTTCAGAACGAGACCAAGGCCTGCACGGATGCGCTCGAGGAGGATATGTTTGAGTCGTGCGGCTATGAGGAACTAGAGGAGTCTCCGTCCGCATATGCCGAGCACAATACAGCAACGCAGCCACCAAGTGCCGGCCTCCTGGACATACCGCTGGCCGACGTGGACGATCTGGGTGGATGTGCGGTGAAGACACGTCTCGACACGCGCGTCTGCCTCTTTTGCCGCAAGAGCGGCGAGGGCTTATCCGGGGAGGAAGCGCGTCTACTTTACTGTGGCCACGACTGTTGGGTGCACACGAACTGCGCCATGTGGTCCGCCGAGGTGTTCGAGGAGATCGATGGCTCGCTGCAGAATGTGCACAGCGCGGTGGCCCGCGGTCGGATGATCAAGTGCACCGTCTGCGGCAATCGCGGCGCCACAGTTGGCTGCAATGTCAAGTCGTGTGGCGAGCACTATCATTATCCCTGTGCGCGAAGCATCGACTGTGCCTTCCTCACTGACAAGTCCATGTACTGTCCGGTTCATGCTCGCAATGCGCTCAAGGCGAATGGGTCCCCGGGCGTTACCTACGAAACGAACTTTGAGGTCTCGCGTCCCGTTTACGTGGAGCTGGATCGCAAGCGTAAAAAGCTGATTGAGCCCGCCAAGGTGCAATTCCACATTGGATCGCTAGAGGTGCGACAGCTGGGTTCCATTGTGCCGCGCTTCTCTGACTCCTTCGAAGCCCTAGTTCCGATCAATTTCCTGTGCAGCCGGCTGTATTGGTCCTCCAAGGAGCCCTGGAAGATCGTTGAGTACACGGTGCGCACCACCATACAGAACAGCTACTCGTCCACACTGACACTCGACGCCGGGCGAAACTTCACTGTGGATCACACCAATCCGAACTATTCGCTGGTGCAGCTGGGGCTGGCGCAGATAGCGCGATGGCACAGCAGTCTGGCGCGCAGCGACCTGCTGGAGACGGACTGGGCCGAGTTTCCGAATTCGTATGTGCCACCCGATGAGAATACCGAGGAGGAGCCGCAACAGAATGCGGATCTGTTGCCGCCAGAGATAAAGGATGCCATATTCGAGGACTTGCCGCACGAACTGCTCGATGGCATCTCCATGCTGGACATATTCATGTACGAAGATCTGGGCGACAAGACCGAACTGTTCGCCATGAGCGAGCAGTCCAAGGACGGCACAACGGCCACATCACAGGCGACAGGCGGATCAGTGAGCATCTGCGACGATGACACGCGCAACTCAAATAGCCTCAGCAAGCAGCTGGAGCTCAGTAATTGCTGGCCAGCCAGCAATCCCGTTGAAGATGCCATGCTGTCCGCCACACGCAGCTCCAACCAGGCGAAGCAGCGAAACAGCGAGGTGCTTAAGAAAACGGCCACAGCCCAAACGCGCTCCTGGCCCAAGATGGATGGCAGCAGCGTTGCGGTCTTCAAGCGGCGCAAGCTCTCCAAGAACCTGCCCGAGGGCGTGCTCCTCAGTCTCAATCAGCGCAACAAAAAGGAAATGGCCACCGTGGCCGGCATCACGAGGCGTCAGTCGATCTGCGGCAGCAGCGAGCTGCTCGCCGAGGGAAACGCAGCCATGCGCACCAAGAGCTTTACGTGGAGTGCAGCGAAGCGATATTTCGAGAAGAGCGAGTCTCGCGACGAGGCAGCCAAATTGAAGATTATGCAAATGGATGGCGTGGACGACTCCATAACCGAGTATCGGATTATTGGCAGCGATGGCAACCTGTCGACGGCCCAGTTCACGGGGCAGGTGAAGTGTGAGCGCTGCCAGTGCACATATCGCAACTACGACTCCTTCCAGCGACACTTGGCCAGCTGTGAGCCCATGTCCACCAGCGAATCGGAGTCGGAGACCACGACGGGGCCCACTCAGCTCAGCGCCGAGAGCCTCAACGAGCTGCAGAAACAGGCAATCGCCGCAGCCACGCTGGGCAACACGGGCGGACTCAACTATTTGCAGACCTCCTTTCCGCAGGTGCAGAACCTGACCACCTTGGGCCAGTTCGGAGTGCAGGGTCTGCAGGGCTTGCAGGCGCTACAGCTGCAGGCGCAGTCTCTGGGCAATGGCTTCTTTCTGTCCCAGCCAAATGCCACACAGGCGACGTCCAATGGCAACGATGAGCTGCAGCTCTATGCGAACTCATTGCAGAATCTGGCGGCCAACCTGGGCGGCGGCTTTGCCCTGACACAGCCCACGGTTAATGCACAGGCGCAACCACAGCTAATAGCGCTCTCCACGAACCCGGATGGAACGCAGCAGTTCATACAGATACCACAGGCCAATGGAGCTGCGCCACAGCTGCTGCAGACGACTGCGCCAACAGCCATGCCAACGACCACATACCAAACGCTGCAGGCGACCAACAGCGATAAGAAGATCGTCCTGCCGCTGCGTGGCACCGCCAAGCCGCTCAAGACGGTGGCCACGAAAGCGGCGCAGCAGGCAACAGCAGCGGCTAAGCAGAAGCAGCTGAAGTCAGCGCAAGGCGTCAAGCCCATTCAGGCGAAGTTGCAGCCCCAGCAGCAGCAGCAACAGCAACAACAACAGCAGCAACAACAGCAGCAGCAGCATCAACAACAACAGCCCATCACGGTCACCGCTGGCACCACCCAGCTGCTTGGCCAGAATTTGCTGCAGCCCCAGCTGCTGTTCCAGAGCAACTCGCAGCCGCAAACATCGCAGCTGCTGCTGCCGCAAACGCAGGCGCAGAACATCATTTCGTTTGTGACCGGGGACGGCAGTCAGAACCAGCCGCTGCAGTACATCTCGATACCGACGGCCAATGACTATAAGTCACAGCAGACGACGGCCACGCCCACGTTCCTGACAGCGCCGGGCGGCGGCGCGACATTTCTGCAAACCGATGCAAGTGGAAATCTGGTGCTAACCACCGCTCCGACCAACTCGGGCCTGCAGATGCTCACCGGATCGCTGCAGGCACAGCCCCAGGTCATCGGTACGCTCATCCAGCCGCAGACGCTACAGCTAACCACGGGGGGAGATGGAACGCAGGGTGCGACAACACAGCAGCCACTCATACTGGGTGGTGCAACTGGTGGTGCTGCCACTGGGCTGGAGTTTGCCACTACGACGCCTCAGGTCATACTGGCCACGCAGCCCATGTACTACGGCCTGGAGACGATAGTCCAGAACACGGTGATGTCTTCGCAGCAGTTTGTGTCCACGGCCATGCCGGGTGTGCTCAGCCAGAATGCAAGTTTCTCGGCCACGACGACGCAGGTGTTCCAGGCCAGCAAGATCGAGCCGATTGTCGATCTCCCCGCTGGCTATGTGGTGCTCAACAATGCGGTGGATGCGGGCAGCAGCACCGGCTGGAATACTGCCAGCGTGCTGCAGCAGAGCCAGTCCCAGACGACAGAGGACGCTACCACACAGCTGCTGCAGAATGCTGGCTTTCAGTTCCAGACCGCCACACCCACATCGTCCGCACAGCAGACCATGTCGGACTATGTGGCCCCAATGGTGGTTACGGCCAAGGTGCCGCCGGTGGCACAAGTGAAGCGCAATGCAAACGCGACGAAGGCAAACATCTCGGTGCTCAGCAAGGTGCAGCCGCAGCCACAGCAGCCACAAGTGGTCAACAAAGTGCTGCCCACCAATGTGGTTACACAGCAGCAGCAACAGCAACAACAACAGCAGCAGTATCAGCAGCAGCCACAGCAACAACAACAACAACAGCAGCAACAGCAGCAGCAGCAGCATCATCCGCAGCCAAAGCAGCAGCAAGCGAGTCACCTGAATGTGAAACATACGTCACAATTTCAGCGGCAGCAGCTGACGAATGAGCTGAAGACCAAGCAGGCAGCGGTGCAGCAGCAGACGGGCACCACGTGTGGCGCACCACCCAGCATAGCCTCGAAGCCGCTGCAGAAGAAAACCAACCTGATCAGGCCCATTCACAAGGTTGAGGTGAAGCCAAAGCTTATGAAGCCGGCACCCAAGCTACCCACTTCGGCAGCTGCAATTCAACAACAGCAGCAGCAGCAGCCGTCAGCGGTGGCTAATCAGATGCCTAAGGTGGCGCTGTTACAACAGCGCCTGCCCGCACCGCTCCAGCAACAGCAATTACAGCAGCAGCAGCAGCAACTACAGCCGCAGCAGCAACAACAGCAGCAGCTATCCGTGCCTCAACTGCTGCCCACACAGCAGCCAATCATCAGCATAGTGAACACATCAGAGCCCCAGGCAACCACCCAGTTTGTAATTACGCCGACGGTGCAGGCACAGCCCATACAGCTGCTGGAGCAGCAGCAGTCCCAACAGCCACAGCAGTTGCAGCAGCAGCAGCCGGATCTTCTCATCAATGGCAATCCTACGAGGCTGCAGCACTATACCAGCAATTCGTTACCCACGAATGTGGTAAATCCTCTGCAGCTGCAGCAGCCGATAGCTGTTAGCACCACCAACAACAGCACCACTGCGGCGTCGCAGAACAGCATTACGATAAATAGCCGGCCCACGAATCGGGTGCTGCCCATGCAACAGCGGCAGGAGCCGGCGCCACTGAACTGCGACGCCGTGGTTCAGTCGCCGACGCCACCTAAGCCTATAGAGGAGCCAGTGATTGCGGCCGCATCCACCCAGAAGGCAGTGCTCAAATGCTACGCGCAGCAGGAGCAGAAATCTCCTGGCTACGAGGCGGAATTGAAGACGAACACCACATTGGATAGTCTCGTGCAGGCGAATGCCATAACGACGCTGCAGTTGCAGCAGCAGCAACAGGAGCCGCTCTACAACGAACACATCTTCGAGAAGCAGTCGGAGGCACAGCCACAGCTGGAGAAACCGAAAGCCAACGATCTCATGCTCATTGACTCCACCTCATGCCAACAGCAACAGCAGCAGCAACAACAACAACAACAGCAACAGCATATGGATATAGTTAGTAATGGCTTTCAGCTAACATCTAACGGGAGCTGCCTGCTGGAGAAGAATGGCTTCCATGTGGAGGCTGTGCCCATGGAGACGGACGATCATTATGACAGCCTGAAGAACGGCAACGGCACTGAGGGGCTGGGTCAAGTGGATGATGCCGATGAGGAGGAGGAAGACGACGATGACTTTAGCTTGAAGATGGCAACGTCGGCATGCAATGATCACGAGATGTCCGATAGTGAGGAGCCAGCGGTAAAGGAGAAGATCAGCAAGATTCTGGACAACCTGACAAACGATGATTGTGCCGATTCAATAGCCACGGCAACCACAGTCGAAGCGAGCGCTGGCTATCAGCAAATGGTCGAGGATGTGCTGGCCACGACTGGCGCCGGCTCAGTGGCTACGGATGACGAAGCCTTCACGGCCACAGCAGAGGAGACGGCTGCAGTAGAAGCAGCGGCCAGCTACATCAACGAAATGGCCGAAGCCCATGAGCTGCAGCTGAAGCTACAAGCGGGTGTTGAGCTGGAGCTGAAGAAACCCAAACTCGACCTGCCACAGCAGCCAGATGCCGTGCAGCCTAATGAGATGCCCACAGCCGCTGCCCCACAGCAGCCGCCGCCAGTGCGCGACCCCAAGAAGATTAGTGGACCCCACCTGCTGTACGAGATACAAAGCGAAGACGGCTTCACCTACAAGTCGAGCTCGATTGCCGAGATATGGGAGAAGGTGTTCGAAGCTGTGCAGGTGGCACGGCGTGCTCACGGTCTGACGCCCTTGCCAGAAGGACCACTGGCCGACATGAGCGGAGTGCAAATGATCGGGCTCAAGACGAACGCTCTCAAGTATCTGATCGAGCAACTGCCGGGCGTCGAGAAGTGCGTCAAGTACACGCCCAAATATCACAAGCGCAACGGGAATGTGTCCACATCTGCCGGAGCTGGGCATGCGGCCAGCGGGGCGTCTGGCAACAGTGCAGCACTTCTTGGCACTGGAACGGATGGCCAGCCGATTATAGACTACGGCTCTGATCAGGAGGAGCTGCAGGAGAACGCATACGAGTGTGCACGCTGTGAGCCCTATAGCAGTCGCTCCGAATACGACATGTTTAGCTGGCTGGCGTCCAGGCATCGCAAGCAGCCCATCCAGGTGTTTGTACAGCCTTCCGATAACGAATTGGTGCCCAGGTAGGTCACATCACTTTGAGTGATATGCGAACTGAACTAATCCACGATTTATTTTGTAGACGCGGAACTGGAAGCAATCTTCCCATGGCCATGAAGTACCGTACGCTGAAGGAGACCTACAAGGATTACGTGGGCGTCTTCCGCTCTCACATCCATGGACGTGGTCTCTACTGCACTAAAGATATCGAAGCGGGTGCGTAATGTCCTTGAACTTTCTATGAATTTAAGCTAATTGTTGAGCAACTAATTTTCCACAGGTGAAATGGTTATCGAGTACGCTGGAGAACTGATACGCTCTACGCTGACGGACAAGCGGGAGCGGTATTATGACAGCCGCGGCATTGGCTGCTACATGTTCAAGATTGACGACAATCTAGTTGTGGATGCCACAATGCGTGGCAATGCGGCACGTTTTATCAATCACTCTTGTGAGGTGAGTGGTACTGCTTTAGGTTGATCCAATACATTGATAATAAAATTGGAATGATTTTGTCTTTCACAGCCGAATTGCTACTCGAAAGTCGTCGATATACTTGGACACAAGCACATCATCATCTTCGCCCTGCGTCGCATCGTGCAGGGCGAGGAGCTGACCTATGACTACAAATTTCCATTCGAGGATGAGAAAATACCATGCTCATGCGGCTCAAAGCGTTGCCGCAAGTACTTAAACTAGGCCAGATCCAAAATGCATATAGAAACATATATAGAATACAAATAATGGACGGCGCAGCGCGCTCGTCCAGGACATACTCAATGAAGAATACGACAAACAAGCAACATGTGTAGTTAACGGTTATTTCGATCTTATTTTTGGTCAATCGTGATACATTTCATTTGATAGCATATATTTTAAGTAGACGTAGTTAAAACAGTTGTACACGTAAGAGTTAAACGTTGATATTATATAAAATATATATCCCATACATATTCGTATATAAACAACTAATATTCTAATAATATAACGCGACTTGTGCTCATATCTATATGGCAAACCCATTGATATAATCTGTACGAAATATATATTTTATCATGTATCTAAAGTGTGTAGATTTACACTGTAACACACTCATACACACACACACACATAATAATAATATGGAAAAACTCGATGATTTCAGTATTCGGCGAAAATGGTTTAACTGTATATGAACTATGTTTAAAATATATGCATTATATACATATGTATTAGCTACCAGATATGAAATTCAGTATATTAAGGCTTGACAGATTCTATATATATTAAAATAATTAACCTAGGCATAATAATGTTGCAAATCACGCGATCAAGATCAATATATATGTATACCTGTTTGGTCAGATTATCAATCCATGAATGGCCAAATCGGTGGACAACCATTTAATGATTATTTACAGGGGCTTGTGTTAGATTGTATATAAAGAAACAAAAACGAACATTGAATTAAATATAAAGTGTTAGGTAATTAAATATTTATGCATAAGAAGCAACAAATCTCTAATTATAAAAGAAGCAGATTCAACTATTTTATGTAGATATATGCGCACTTGCAAATTGAGTATTTATGTTTGTTGCAATTGAACTTACTAACTAACTAACTATTACAAATAATAATAATCCAATGGCCTAATCTAATATATATACATACATATATACTTAAACATGCATACACACCACAAACACACATACACATATGTATGTTAGTATTGGCTACGCGAGAAGTAACTAAGCATCACCTTTGAAATTATTTTGTGAACAGAAAACACCAATGTAATTGTAAAGAAGCGACAAACAAACGCATAATTATACTATAGTTTTCAAATGAGCACGTATTCGTGCGATTTATTTATGTATTTCTTGTCGATTCTTAAATTCTATGTAAATTCGTGTAATTCGTTTGTCGTCGCTTAAAAACAAAAGATTGTGTTCTAAATTTATAACTAGTTTAAATATGTAAAATTGTTCTTTTATTTTTTATGCGTCACATCAGCCTCTTATTGCCGGCTTTTACAAGTAATCCTTATTTATTAAGCAGCTCCCTTGTATTCTACTAGTTGTAATATGTATTGATTCGGTTAAGCCTACTTTTAGCTCGTTTTATATTTGTATTTTTGTCAAAAGTCGGTTTGATTAATTCAACCACATTATCTATAGTATAACTTACATAGTTCGGTTCGGAATCATACGAAAGCTAGCAAGCATACGAATGTACAGGCAAAGTTCCACAGCATTTTTGGCAGCCATTCAGACGCGGGCACTTTTTGTCCGACGTCAAGGAATTTTATATTTTTATTCCCTAAAGAAAAAAGTTTAATAAACTACAGAATAAATTATTTTAAACAATGTATATTGCTTTTTCTTGGAAAATGATGAGGATCAAATGAGGATCTACGGACTATTTTGTTTTTCTCTTATTCTACAGATTGATCAATACAAAATATATATATACATACACAAGTATGCTGAAAGAAATTAAACTCCTTGAGAGACAAATTTCTGCGATTAGCTCAGGGTTTGGCGTGATCAATTCGCTGCCTCGCCTCGTTGGCCGCGCAGAGTGCGTTGCGTGCGGCTTTCTGGGTTTTGGCGTAGTCGTTGCGGGCTTCACTCAGTTGGCGCAGCAGAACGGAGACGCGCTTCTGGGCAGCTTCCAGGAGGCTGGTCTTGTCCGACATGGACTGCTGGCAGGCGGCCGAGACCTGCTCTGCGCTATCGCAATTCTCTCTGGCCAGCTTCTGGCCGGCGATAAGCAGCTTTAGTTCCTCCTGGGCCTGTCGGTGTGCTTTGAGCGCCAACTGGCTGTTCGACTCGGCTGAGCTGAGCTCCGAGGATTCCTCATGCACAATTATCTCGGCCTCCCGCACCTCCATCTCCAGCTGCTCGAGCACCTGAAGTTTTCCTGACAGCACAGCTTCCGCCGCCCTGGCAGCTGCGGCCGCCTTCTCCGAAAACTCGAGCTTAATCCGATCGGACGCCTCCTTCACCGCACTCTCCATATCGTCGTTGGCCTGTTTAGCCTCCATCGCTGCTTTCATCGCTATGCCCGTCCCATGGGATTTCGAGTTCAACTTTCTGGGTCTGGGTTGAGGCGACGGCTTGTCGCCATCATTGTCACAGCCCGAGTGATCCCTCTCCCCAGTGCCCTGGAAACTGACTCTGTCGTCGACGAATTTGCTATCGTGGTTCAATAGCCGCTTAAACCGAGCCTGATGCGCTGCTCTATGCAGATCCCGGCGGGATGAGTAGCCCGAAGTGAATTCTATTTGTGTAACGGACGACAATACAATGAACCACATGATTTGAAAGTTTAGTCGCATTTTCCGTACTAACAAACATTTTTCACTTTCTCAGTTTCAAAACATGGTGCCACTTGACAGCTGTGTTTCATAATAATGAATATGGAAAGGGCGGCACAATGCTCTATATTTCCGTATTTGTGGTCCTAAACATCGGCTGTATATCCCAGAGCTCTGTCATCAGGCCGTCGGAGAAGGTCAGTAGTGCGATATTCCCATTCCAGCTTGAATCAAACCCAAACTGACAGATCTACAGCAAACGTAGCCTTGAGATATTTCCAAATATTGCGCGGCTGGCCGAGGAATGTAATAATAAAAAGGATGGAGGCGGTGAGGACCCCAAGGACTGCAAAATTTCGATTGGCAAATCAGATGCCAAGTCCAAGGCCTCCAGCATTGCCCAGAAAGCGGCTCAAGAAGCAAAGGCGGCGAATGATGCACAAATGACAGCGGCAAATGCTGCCGCGACTCAGGTCAAGCTGGAGCTCGCCGAGAAGGCCTTTCAGTCCGCACGCGCTGCCGAGGCCGCTCTGGCCGGCAAGCAGCAGATCTTCGAGCAACTGCAGCTGGAGAACCGCGAAGCCGAATCTGTGGTGCAGGAAGTCGACAGCTCGCTGCACAATACGCAGGCGAATGCTATCGCTGCCAACGATGCCATCGTCGAGGCAAGGAACCAACTGGAAAACCTCAAGAGACTTGTGCGAGCTTTCACCAAGAATCTCGAAAGCATGGAGAACATATCGACTGGGGCCCAACAGGAGCTGGCCGAGAAGACCCAGCTGCTGGAGGCGGCCAAGAATCGCCAGCAAACCCTGGCCAGCCAGCTGCTGAAGGCCAAGAACGACTACGAGGACACCAAGAAGGCCGCCTACAAGGCAACCTGTGCAGCAGTCGAGGCCAAGCAGAAGGCGCAAAGGAGTCGGCGTCAGAATAATTTCAATCGAACTGTGAATGATTTTAAGCAATCGAATAATGTTGTTTAAGCTTTATAGCATCAAAGATGCAAAAATAAATTTTCTTGTATATTTGCTATGTATTATAGAAGACTGAAACACTTTTGTACCTGAAAAAAAAAAAAACTGAAACCTGCCTCGGAAAGATGGTGTTGAGGTAAATCGTCCTTGAACAAGCACAATGTACAACCTGATTAAGAACAGTAAAATATATATTTCAATAATGTCACCAATTTCATGGGGTTACTCTATTTGCAAGACCTGCCAATCCACAGATCCACAGATCAGTGATGTTATGGTCGGTTATGGTCGTCATCTATATCCATCCTATAATAAGGCTAACGTGTTTCTGTCTGCGTGTGCATATGTGTGTGTGTAGCTCAGAATGATAGGAATATGCGGGGTTCAGGGGCTCCTCTAGTCGAGCAGTGTTGACTAGAGCACTTCCACATGTTTTATTTTCTCTATAAAAGTTTTAGTCGTCAAACTTGAAATCGAAACAATGAACTTAAAAGGGCTAGCACAATGCACTATATATACGTATTACTGGTCCTTAACTTCGGCTGCTTATCCCAGAGCTATAAGATCGGTGCGCGCGAGAAGGTCAGTAGAATGTGATTGGGATTTAGAATTTAATTTTAGAATCTAGAATTTAACGTGGGCTGCCAGGCCTCCAGCAAACGTAGCCTCGATATATATCCGGACACGGTGAAGCTGGAGGATTCGGGTGCTGCGAAAGACGCTGGCGGCGGGACTGGTCAGGAGTGTGAAACCAAGACGTGCTCTGGAGCTCTTTCCATTGGGGTGACCGACCCGAAAACCAAAGCCACAAATATTGCCCAGAAGGCGGCGCAGGAGGCGAAGGCGGCGAATGATGCACAGGTGGCCGCCGCAGAGGCAGCTGCGTCACAGGTGAAAATCCAGCTGGCCGAGAAGGCGCTACAGTCGGCCCGCGCGGCCGAGGCAGCTCTGGCGGGCAAGCAACAAATCATGGAGCAACTGGAGGCGGAGCATCGCGAGGCCGAGGCGGTCGTTCAGGACGTAAGTAACTCCCTACAGAATACACAGGCGAATGCCGCAGCGGCCAGCGATGCGGCCAACGAGGCTAAGAACCAACTCGGAAAGCTAAAGCAGCTGGTGCAGGCATCCATTGCGAATCTGGCCAACATCGAGAACGTCTCGGGCGGCGCACAGCAGGAGTTGGCCGAGAAGACGCAGCTGCTGGAGGCGGCCAAGAATCGAGTGGACAGCCTATTGCGTCAGCTGAACTTGGCCAAGCAGGACTACGATAAGACCAAGAAGGCGGCCTACAAAGCCGCCTGCTCGGCGGTCGAGGCCAAGCAGAAGGCGCAGAGGACTCGACGTAGAGCCGCAGATCCCAAATCACCTTCTCCTTGACCATTTATCTCATATTGTATATTTTTTATCAGCAGACACTGCGCAATGTCTGCGACTTTATGCCTGAGAACAAGATTAGGGAAATATTGATTTCAATAAAATTCGATTCCAATAGAATCTGCTGTGATAAGATTTATGTAGGGGCATCACTGGCATCACTTCCTGCGCAAATTTGAGAATATCGTATACAGCGATGGGAATGTGATGCTAATAAAATACGATATCAATCATGGAGCAATGGAAGTTAATGTCGATTCAAGTTTGATTCATAGGCTTTTAGATATTTGGAGTACTTTGATTTCTCGTGCTGTGAAAACTTAGTCAATGTGAAAACTGGCATCAAAGCTGTGAAGTCGCTGTCGAATATGTTTTATAAAACCGTGTTGCTGTTGCTACTGCTATTGCTGCAGGCCATACCGCGGCTGAGCAGCTACAGCTATGACGAGCCTGCTAAGAGGGAAGAGCGAGCTCTTGGCGAACAGGATACGGGCGGATGCTCGGATGACGGCTGCAGCAAAAAGACCGCCAATATGTTGGACAAAAGTGATCCCAAGACAAAGGCGTCGAATATTGCCCAGAAGGCGGCACAGGAGGCGAGGGCCGCCAGTGATGCGCAGATGGCCGCCGCAGAGGCAGCTGCCACGCAGGTCAAGCAGGAGTTGGCCGAGCGGGCGGCGCAGTCGGCACGTGCCGCCGAGGCCGCGCTGGCCGGCAAGCAGCAGATTGTGGAGCAACTGGAGCAGGAAATGACAGAAGCGGATGCCGTTGTGGCGGACATTACCACAT